CCCCAAAACCCCAAAACCCCAAAACCCCAAAACCCCAAAACCCCAAAACCCCTTATATATATTATTGGCTGAAGGCCACATGGATTAGTTTAAATAATAAAGATTCATATGGTTAAATTTTATTCATGAGTTACTTAGAATAGGAATCCTGCATCTTCGTAAGCTTCAGCAACCTTTTTGATTGAGTTAGAAAATCCTGCAATTCTCATATTAGTATTCTTCTCCAAAGCGATATCAAAGTGAGTGTGGATGGCATTACTCATGATCTCTTCCAGTCCAGAGTAAACGAGATCAATTTCCTTAGCACCTCTCAAGAAGCCCATGGTGTCGTCAACAATGGATGGAGCGTCTTGGCCCTTGATGAACTTATAGAGATCTTTCTTGGAAGTAGCCTCCCATCTTCTTGTCAATTTACCTCCGCTTACATGTTGGAGATTCTTCAACCACTCGAAGTAAGATACAGTGACACCACCTCCATTGAGGATAAGATCTGGAATATTGATGATTCCTTTCTTCTCGCAGATCTCTTCTCCCCAGACAGTAGTTGGGCCGTTAGCTCCTTCAGCAATTATCTTACATTGAAGGTTTGGGGCATTATTCATGTGGATGGATTTCTCAACAGCGCAAGGAAGCAAGACATCGCATTCCATCTCCAAGAATTTAGCTGGGTTCTCAATTTCAACTTTATCAGCGTGAGGATAGTTCTTGAGAGAGCCTTCATTAGTTTGCCATTGAATCACATCCTCAACGTCAAGTCCATCCTTCTTATGAATAGCACAGTCCCACTCAACAATGGTTGTAATTTTACCACCGTCCTTGACAAGGAACTTAGCTGCCCATGATCCGACAGCTCCGAAACCTTGAATATTGAATTCTTTACCTTCAATTCCAGTGCTAAGTCCTGCTTTTTCACAAAAATCTTTCCTGTTGAGCAACTCTCTGATTCCGTAGTAGCATCCTAATCCTGTAGACTCTTGTCTTCCACTGATTCCACCGTGTCTCTTGAATTTACCAGTGACGCATCCCTCAGCGTTGATGTCCTTGTCTCCATAAATGCTTGTGTAGGTATCCTTAATCCAGGTCATGACTTGTTGGTCGGTACCCATATCAGGTCCAAGAACGTCGATAGCTGGTCCAATGAATCCTTTCTTAGCAAGCTCAAGAGTGTATCTTCTGGTTATCCTCTCAATCTCAGATCTGGAGTAGTTACGAGGATTGATCCTGATACCTCCTTTAGCACCTCCGAATGGGACATCAGCAGCAGCAAGCTTGAAGGTCATCAAGGAAGCAAGAGCTTCAACCTCAGAGATAGTAATGTTGTCAGCATATCTTGTACCTCCCTTGACAGGTAATTTATGGTGAGAATGCTGAGCTCTATAGCATGTAATGATTTCTAAGCTTCCATCATCTCTCTGGAGAGGGAGGTTGAACCTGACAACTGAGTTACACTCCTTAATGACACTCAATAATCCAGGAGCAACATCTGTGAATTGGGCTGCCTTATCGAAGTGCATCTTAACCATCTCTAAAAATCTTGGCTCTTGTGGTGTTGCGTTAGTTGGGGTTGTGGTAGCAGAACTAGGGCTAGCCCATTTCTTTCTACTTGGAATAACCATAGTCCTAGCTGGGGTTGCAGTAAGGGACTTTGATAAGTATCTATGATGAACTCTACTTAACATCTTTAGAATAAGATTATACAATAATATTATTTTAAATCCATTCACCAGCACTCCAATGGGGTTTTGGGGTTTTGGGGTTTTGGGGTTTTGGGGTTTTGGGGTTTTGGGG